AAAAACATTACTGATATAAAAAAACCAAATCACTGATATTAAATTGACAAACGAGCGATCTCATAGCGCAAATGCAAGTCAAAATGGAATCACTTGAATCAGACTTAAACAAACTCAAAATTTCCTCAAAATCTGCTTTAATAACTCTGGAAAACGAGTTGATACTCGGCGAACAAATTATACAGGAGATTCAGCAACGCAATAATAGAGAAAAAAATATCGTGCTTCTCGTCTTACCTGAACAAATTTCGTCTACTCCTGAAGACAGATTGTCAAAAGACGAAGCTGACGTATTCAAAACTATATCCTCGGTGAGTGCAGGCATTCCAAAACCGATCAAAGTTTTTAGGATCGGCAAACTCCAACCAGGCAAGAGCCGCAGTATCAAGGTGTGCTTCGAAACGATAGAAGCTGCCAAAAAATTACTCCGCAACAAAAGTAAGCTACAAGATGGTCTAAAAATGTTCTCAGACCAAACACCAACTCAACAAAACTTTATGAGAAAATTAAGAGAAGAACTAAAGCGACGACAAGATAATGGTGAGACTAACCTTACGATTAAATATGTTAATGTAACGGAAAATATCAAAAAACTCCACACAGTAAACACAGAAATTAACATTCCTATCAAAAACAACACTTATGAAATATTAAACAGTTACCAAAATTTTACAATCAACAAATCACGCTTTACCTTTCTCTACCTCAACGCTCGAAGTATACGTAAAGTGGGAAAACTCGATGAACTCAAGTGTGTATTACAAGCAATACCAAATAATTTGCACATCATACTGATAACTGAAAATTGGATTCGCAACGAGGAACAAGCATTACAACTTCAACTACAGAATTACTTTCATTATTATAACTACAGAGCAGATGCTGGTGGAGGAGGGGTATCTTGTTATGTCCATAATAACCTGAAGCACAGTTTATCAGAGTCTAAATATGTAGGATGCAATAACTATCTGTGGATAAAACTACAAAAATATACGCTTGAAGTAGAAGTGGTATATAATTCTGGACACACTAATTTCAAGCAATTTCTCGAAATATACGAATCAAAATTACAAGAAAGAAGCAGAGCAATAGTTTTCGGTGACTTTAACGTTGATTTACTCACAAAAAATTCAGAGACCAAAAGATACAATCATCTGCTAAAACATACTGGATACAAGATCATAAATAAAATCACAAAAGATATTACACCAAACAAGGACATACAAAAAAATCTATCCTAGATCATGTAAGCACCAACTTAAAGGAAGAAAACTTTCATATGGTATATGTCAACTCATCTTTTTCTGATCATGGACAGCTTTACGTGGAAATCAAGAAAACAAACCCCCAAGAAAATATTATCAATACGAAGCAATAAATTATAAAGAACTTTTATAAATCAATAGAGAAAGCAGGAATACAAGAATCCAACGATGACTTCACAAGACTGGAAAAACTAATAAAAAAATGTATGGAAGAAACCAAAGTAATAAAGACGAAAATTATAATTGAACCACAAAAAGAAGGGATAAAAAAATTATCGTAACAGAAATCAATGAAAGAATCCTGATGTAGACAGAACTACAGAAGAACCCAGAAAGAGAAGACCTGAGAGAAAAGTGTATCACCAAAAGAATAAAATAACCAAGTTGATGCGGGAAACAAAGAAGTCATATTATAATAAGGAATTCGACAAATACAGTGGAGAGCCCAAAAAGCTACGGAATTTACTCAATACCCTTACAAATAACAAATTTAAATAAAGATGCGCTCCTTCCAAACTTATTGTTAATTCAATAGAAGTTACTGATCCTCATGAGATGTGCAATATATTTAATAACTTTTTTGCTACTATAGGGCTATATTTAGCTGACGAAATACCTATTTAGTTCAATGCCAATTATACTCACGCACTACCAAAATCACTTTTACAAAATTTGCAAATGAATAGTTTAGACCATGCACTGAAGAAGAAATTCTTAATATTATTAACAAACTTGATTCAAACAGTAGTGTCGGTCTAGATGGTATTAGTACAAAGGTTATCAAGTGTGTGCAGGACTTAATAATAAATTCATTAACGAAAAACTTTAACAAACTTTTACAAAACGGATCATTTCCGGACGCACTTAAAATAGCCAAAGTAACACCTATTTACAAATCACAACGAACCAAAAACGGAACCGGGCAACTATCGGCCAATGTTCCGTACCGCCAGTATTATCAAAAATTCTAGAAAAAATCTTACATACATGGCTACAAAACTACTTAGATTCTATACTCGTAGATTTCTTTTTTGAAAGACAGTACGGATTTCGTTCTAAAAGTAATACACTCACAGCTACAATTGATCTGGTAACTAAAATCAAACATAACATTGATAAGAAAAACATTGTTCTAGGAGTATTCATCGATTTAAAAAAGGCGTTTGACACCGTAAGTCATAAATTGCTCTTAAAAAAAACTGAAGTCATTGGTATTACTGGAATAGCCTTAAAATGTTTTAGTCTTACCTCACGAATAGATCCCAGATCGTAAAAATAGACAGTAGCACTCAAAGTCCCCTACAACCCATAACCTATGGAGTTCCACAAGGTTCAATATTGGGTCCTCTGCTCTTTTTAGTCTATATTAACAATATGCATGAGTTGGGCTTGAATGGCAATATCACACTTTACGCCGATGACACTTGTCTTTTTTACTTTGGTTCTTCAATTCATGATCTTGTCTCTCAAGCCCTGCAGGACTTTAGCATTCTTTGCGATTGGTTAGAATATAATTTACTAACTATCAACATTTCCAAAACTAGCTACATAATATTTAAAGCAAAAAATAAACCTATACCCAATTTCTCGCCTCTTAAAATGAACAATACACCATTGCAAGCAGAAACTAATGAAAAATATCTTGGCCTTTATTTGAATACCCATTTAACATGGAAAGTTCACATCAAATATTTAATAACCGAATTAATATCACTTCACGCCTTACTCCGGTTTAATTTTCGATACATACCACAGAAACTACGTTTCACAATATATAATGACCTAGTTAAACCACACCTGTTATATCTCACCGAGGTCTGGGGAAGCGCCGCCAGTACTAGATTAAACAAATTACAAATCCTACAAAATAAAATCATAAAAATGGTATTCAACTACAATTTCCGAACGTCAACTACAAAAATGATGAATATCAAACAATTATACATTTATAGCACATGTATTTTTATTCGGAAATCCATGAACAAGAAGGTCCGCACGGATCTGCAATTCACAAAGCGAATAAAAAAATTGGGCGCATCTGCACTCGACGCGCAAGCGTTCATCGTTTTGCCTATAACCCGAACAAAGTACGGCCAGACCACAATCACATGCGAAGGTGTGCCTTTTTAATAAGATACCCTCGGAAACAAAAAATGTAGACTTTTCAACGTATTCAAAAAGTGACTAGCAAATCATATAATCACAAACATATTTATCTGAGTGCGTTGGACTGGTTTGTTCCCGGTCTTAGTAATGGTGTGCCTAAGGTGATAATAGTGAATACCAGAATTTAACTTTTCTTTTATTTGTATAGATTTTTCCCGTCGATAGCTGTTTTTGATGTTGTTTATTTTTCAACAACATAGTTACGACAATGAATTTTGTTATTTAGATTTACTTTTATTTATGTTCTCATGTAAGTGGCATATAAAATGTCTTTATGAGAATAAATGTCTTTAAACCTAACTAACATTTGACGAATTGTTGGAAATAGTGAGGCCTCAAATAATACTTCAAGATATCAACATGCGTTTGGCGATACCACCTGTACAACGACTGGCTGCAGTGTTGCCAACGGATGAAATAGCAATCCGCCGGACAAGGCTCCTCAAACCACCATAAAATCACTAACAAAAATATGTCCCCCTCTGAAAACTACTAAAATTTCCACTAAGATATATGAATATGATTAAAGCAAAAAAAAAGTAAAAGTACGTTTATTATTAAAAATCTTATTGTTGTTAATATATTTTTTTTTACTTTTAGTAATTAAAAAATCAAGTTGCTTAAGATATTATTTACATTAATAAATCGTCTTCAGATGAATCTGCATTTTCATTTTCAGCCTTACTGTTATCCTTATCAAACTGATATGACTCCTTCGTCCCTATTTGTTTTATAAGATTTAAAGGAATTTCATAATTGTTGCAGCACTTTCCCATTAAATGCATACCGCAGCGTATTTTTAGAATTGATTTCAAAAAGTAGCTTCATTCTGTTTCGCTGCTTGTTTTTTATAATATTCATGCTACTAAAAAGTCTCCACATCGGCATTCGAATGTGGCAATACCAAAATTGTAATCGCAAATGTTGCTAATTCTTGAAATCGAGCAACACCTTGTGTATCTTTGAAATTCAAGACTTCGCTTCAAAATTTTTTTGTATCTTTTGTTTCATTCCATCTCAGTAAATGAATTTGCTGCCATTGATCGTCAATTTTTGCAATTAATTCTGTACTTGTTACGAACCGAGCCATTATATCAACCAGATTTTCTTTGTTGTGCTTTATATTTTTAGTAACATTTTCCGGCAATCTGTTTTTTATTTCGTCAATCAGACAAACTATAAACTGTATGCACCTATTCCGCAATACTTCTTCTTCTTCCCGTGGAAAACCTTTCTCTTTCATTTCTTGAATCTGTTTTTCGAATCGGAATCCCAGGGAACAGCATCTTTGGTCCAAATAGTCACGAATATTTTGAGTAAAGATATCTTATCTTATGTGTAGGCAACGTTATTTTGGTGACAAGCGTATCAATCAAGTTTGTTAATTCACCGCACAATAAGATGTGGTCCGTATTTTTTTACTCAAACATTTTATTAACTCTGTTTATATCAATCAAAATTGGATAAATAAATGATACATATGCATAGTTCATATCATTCGCATACATAGAGTGCAATAGCTCTGACGTGTGGCACCTTTCGTGCATCTTAGCAATCGAAAAATGAGTTTTAAGCTCCAGCCATTGCGTATAAATTCTCGACACAGCAGACTATGGATAACCATCTAGTCTGACAGGTTTGAACAATTTTAAGAGGCTTCTGTCCATCGTTGATGGATTTGTATAGCTCTTTATAGATAACTTGTCTGGAAGACGATCGAGCAAACCAATCATACGTCTCTCTAATTAAAAATTCAAGATTTCGCGGAAGAAATTCCTTTGCTGCTGCTGAAATAGCCAGTTGCAAGGAGTGGCATAAACAACGTACCAAAACTAAGTGCGGTATTTCTTGTTTCAATCGGACAAAAACTTCATTACTTACGCCAACCATCACCGAAGCATTATCTGTACCAATACCCATTAAGTTTTCAATTCGCAAGTCGAAATGTTTAAGCGTCCGCTTTATGGCAGAAACAATACCTTCAGCATTACATGCGTCGAGTTCAGCAAGGTCCAAACAAGTTGAAACTATTTTTTCATGTGTAGTGCTGTAATAAATTACAATTAAACCCAAATATTTTTGTACAGCAATATCTGTGGATTCATCTATTAATAAACTGTATGGTTGTTCTTTAATGTCGTTTTTTATAAGTTCTGTAAAATGAGATGCTAAAATATTTTTTATTACATACGTGCACTTAGTTCGGTGCATCTGCATTTTATTTATTTCTTTTTCATGGCTGTAGTTAATAACTTCTCCTAAATGATCAACTGTTCGTATACTTGTATGCATTGCTGTAAATAATGCAACTCTGGCTTCATCTTTCTTTTTATTATCAGTAGACTCCTTTTTGAATGTCAGCTTAGGTTGTTTGGTGATAACCTACAAACAAATAATGAAATATATAAAAAAATTTAAATGCAACCTCATTAATTGACCAAGTTCGAACCGTTATAAATAACAAAGACAAAGCTATAATTTACCTTTCTATTTTGTTGGTGCTTTTTCGAAAGAGCATGTGTTTTTAAATCTCCGTAGTGACTTCTTAATATCGTTCCACAAAACTTGCATTTTGCTACTTGGCCAGTGATACTTTCAACTGCTTGAAGCCATTCTTTTAAATCGGGATCTTGAAGCCAAGAATCCCTTAATTTTTGGGAATATTGAGGTTTCGGCATAGCGTCGTATGAATAATATTTTCATTTAAAAACGTGTAATCGCCAAAACGAAACATAAACAAACAACAACGCACTGAATCCGAGTAACCGTGCGTGACCGAGTTCAAAAACATTGTACTAAGTATTGTAAAATGATGTCAAATAGAATAGAAAGCGGAAATTATATCCCTCTCAACTATTTAGTATTCCGGAGAGCGAGATACAGATAGATCTCGCCCTTGCATTCCATCGTTTTTTATTAGTCGCCTTATACTAAATATATTTAACGGAGAACCCCCGTTAATGCTTTCCAATTCAATGTCTATGAAAATGAATTGGTGTTGCCTGCATAGTAAAATAAACTCTTAAAAATATATAGGTTTATATTTTGAAAGTATAAAATATCCTCTTCAGACCTGAACTAGAGGGGACTTATGTATAAGTAACTTTTTGCGTTTTTTATACTTACTGGGGTCAAAATAAAAACTATAATTTTTAAAAAAAAAATATATTATTATTATTAATATAAAAAAAAGTTGTTCCACATATGTGGACCTTGGGTCTTAATGCGGTCCAAAGTTCTTATTAGAATGGTAACTCTCGAAACAGTTATTTTTTAATATACATAAAAAAACATGACATTTTACACACATAGTGCGGCATTTGGATGAACATGTCGGATGGCGACATTTGGATGCGTTCTTGGAATCAATGAATCGTGGCAGGTGGCCCACATTATCCAGCCTTGTTTCAGGTAGCGGATGGGGTACAACCGCTCGATTTTTTTTTGCAGGAGACTCATCACAGCCCACGTCCGTGATTTTTGGGTTGGAAACTGCCGAGGGGCCAGGGCTAGATTGAGATCTGGAGCCAGGACGCATAAAATTTGGGTCCACTCTACCACCGTCATACTTCATCAAGGCTTTAGCCAAATTCAAGCGGTATTGAAGCAATCCCAGCTTATGCTTGCTTTCCACATTTTCAACTTTGCAACAACGCATGTACATCAACCAGCAATTGACAACCACAAGGTCGAGAAAGTGACAATACGTTCTAACTGTCCATTTTTTTGTGCGCATTGAGCTCCGATAATATGCAATGAGCCGATCACACAAGTCTATTCCGCCCATGCAAGTGTTGTAGGTTTTTACAACAGCTGGCTGTGTCACATCTATCTTTTCTTTTCTAACCTTACACCAACGCTGGCACGTAGTTGCTGGCTCACCTCCCTGTACATGTAGATAGCAATGTTACCGCTTTTGTGTCTTTCCATTTCACGATACATATGTTATCATCATTTCGGACTTTTTCATCCCAGGCCCCTCTCTGCAACTCCTTGTCTGGCTTCAATTTCGTAGATACTGGGCCAATTCTATTTGTCATAACAGTTCCAGTTAGAAATATTTGATTATTATTTGCAATAAGATGCTCGGCCAGTTCTAAACTAGTAAAAAACCTATCGGTGTAAAGAACACAACTGCTTTCAATGGTGCGGCAAAGAGTTTGCACAATGCCGCCTCCTAGTCCCAAATTTTTCATAATTTCTGGTGATATGGTGTCTTTACCAACATATATTTCGAAATCTAACACTATTCCATCTCGGGCAGCGAGTACAAAATTTTTAAGTCCAAGTGGATTAGGTTTACTTGGAACGTACTGACGGTACTCACATCGCCCTGCAAATGGTATCATTTGCTCGTCTATGGACATGTGTTTAGAACGAGGCAAACTGTGGCATTTCTTTAAAATTGGATTAATTATTGGCCTTATTTTCCATAGTTTGTCGTTAGTATCTGGACAGTTCAGGTCTACGAAGTGGAGATAATTGCGAAGTTCAAAAAATCGGTCCCGAGGCATGGTATCCCTGATAATAGGCACACATAAATCTCTAGTCCAATAAAGTTTTCCTTGGGGGTATTTAAGAGTACCCATCAATAATTGCATACCCGCAAAATGAATAATCTCAATGGAGTTTGTTTTCAATGATTTTAGATCACGTTTTTGAGCAGAATAAATGTTACTTTGTTCAGCCACCATTTCCCAGAATTCTGTTCCCAAGTACTCAAAAAAACAATACAAAATGTTCATCTCTGAAGTACCCTGCGCTACGAGCTCATCATCTGCGATGTCTGGTCCACGGCAACGCATTTCTTTTGTACGCCAAAACAACGTTGCTGACCTTCCAGGTTCCGCTTCTGTCAAATTTTCTTCTTCATCTTCTTCTGAATCGTCGGACTGATGAAGAGCCCTTACCACTTCTGGAGGCAAGTAATCATTGTCATCTTCATTGCCAGAGAAGTCAAAGTCACTTTTATTGAGAATATCCTCAATATCCCGGTCATTCATGATAGAACTGAAAAATAGTAATATGCTATTAAAACCAACGTTAAATCCTGAGGTCCACATACGTGGAACAGCAAAAAAAAATTCGAATTTTGATACAAAAAAAACAAACAGAAACAAAAACTCACCCTTTCAAACATAAATTTAGTTATTCAGCTATACAAAACTACAACACTTTCGACTTGAAGCAAACAAAATAATTTTATATTGATTTTCAAAGTTCGAACGTGACAGACCTACGGAAAATTTTCAAACGAACAATTTCAAACTTAATTTTACGTGTCAAAACTATTGTCTAAAAGCCATCTATCGGTTTAGATAGAAGCTCTGTATCCTTTATCGACTTTCATTAGTATTGACAGTTGTCACACGATGTCGCTAACTGTTGCAATTCTAAAAATGCTAAGGTCCTCGTATGAGTACCTACGGTCTGAAGAGGATATGGCTAAATAGACGTCTGAAACGACTATTTATATGAAACGACTCGTTTCTTATAATTTATGATATAATTCCTAATCCGCTAAAAAAACTACTAGCCACTAAAAGCAAAAATTTGCCACTAAAAGGGGGTTCCAAACCACCAGATTTAGTGGAAAATCCACTAAGGTGGCAACACTGACTGGCTGTTACACTGAGGTAAGTAAAACAAAAATAACAAAATTACAAAGCAATTTTTATTTAAGTAATAAAAGACATATTTATTAATTTGTACAATCATTTGGAGACAAGTACAAATCTTCTGGTGAATTTATATTATTAATCAATGGAAATGGAGATGGGCAAATATTTGGGTTGAAAGTCGTAAAAAAGGTCTGTGCAAATTGTGGATTAGAACTTCGTGCAAAATTAGCGGGGCGTTATTGATGATTCTCTAAAATCTTAATAACTTTTGATGGATGTACGGGATCGGATGAGGATGATGCAAGGACAGAGTTGGTTGTGACTCTAAATGCTGCTGCTGATATATATTACTGGCTTGAGTGAACATTGTCTGTGAGTACTGCTGCTGTGGGGTCTGAGTATAAATGAACGAGTTTTCCGACTGTGAGTGCTGCTGATACATATTACGAGTTTGAGCTGATGTTGGTTGTAAGTTGGTATGAATTATGGGTGTTGTTTGAGCTGAAAAGTTAGAACAAAGTTCTACTAGTAGTAAGTAACTGAAATATGGTTCAATGTTTGTTCTGTTAAACGGTGATTGGTTAGGCTGTCTGACTGGCTGGCTATTTTGCGTCCTGTTTGTGAAAGTGCGAAGTACTTTTAATATTTCTATTTTAGCAAACACTTTGCTATCATCATCCATCTTTTTTAGTGATTGAACCAATGATAAACAGAATATTTTATCCTCGTCCATTCCGGACTCATTTTTGATGGCCTTCAAAATTTCACTTTCAAAGGATGATGTAGTTTTCTTTTTCTGTTTTGGAGTCTCTGTAACATTACAAGTGGCAGTCTCCAGCAGGTGAATTTTCAGTATTAAATGTTGATGGGCTTCCAGTATTTTGCTCTGGTATATTTGTTGTTCCAGAAGTTTTTGCATCTTTGACGTGTGGAACTAAAAATAGTAATTCGTCGTAATATCTGTATTTTTTCTCTTTTTTACACCTTGTCCTGACGTAACATATTTTTTGCGCTTGATATTCACGCCGGAAGTTTTCCCTTAAGTGTTTCCACTTTGCTTATATTTCTTTGCCATAAAATTTCATTTCTTACAGATTTCTAGCATCAGGCAACAGTTTTCATGACTTACATTACCAGTTTTTACTTGGGGTGTCTACCATACATTACATTATTAAACAAGTCTGCGACGCAATATAGAATTCTTTAAAACCTATGTATATGCCAGAAAAAACAAAGGAAGATTTTGAAAAAATATCAGAAGAGTTTTATCACTGCACTTATTTTCCCAATGTGGTTAACATGCACATTGTTGTGGAAGCTTTAAGTCCACTCATCTAATAACAGTTTGTTTTAGTTGGGCTTAAATCCTCGGATTTGCAATGTTAGTCGCAAATATGTTTCAACGTGTGAAGCTTCTTAATTGGTATATCCGCCAGTTCTGAATTCCCAATTAATTTCAACCATTGCTTACATTTGATAAAATATAACAAAATACACAAATAGAATGTAAACAATCACAATTGATAATATAGTTTCTAAGTACAACTCAAAGTTTGCACCTCGCGTCGATTACGTCATACTGACGCTTAGGTACGGCCGGCAAAAAAGTATTCGCTATGACTTTAAAAAAGTACTTATATTATATTCTAGGACATTGTTTCCGTTTTTTACCTGGTGTCAATAATTTGGGTGGACTTAATTGAGCACTAGTACTTAGACGTGGCGAAGAACTTGAAACTGGTAAAGCGTATAATAGCGATAATTGTTTGGCTTCCTTTTTTCTATTCCTTAGCGTCCTCTTAGATATGCCGGTTGCGGCACAAGTTTGCTGAATAACTTTATCAACCGAATAGGTCATCCTTTGATTACCTTTCTCTTCTTTGAAAAACTTCAATACTTTCAGGATTATGTTTCTCCCTTTACTGTGTATCACCTTTCCTTTCATTTTTGTTGACCACAACAATCTATTCGAGTTAAAAAATTAACGTTAACCGTTCAGTAACAGGTTCAACAAAAACTTAAAAAAAAAACAGTCCAGTAATATAATAAAACAGTGGAAACAACAAAACTTCAACAAAAAACCTAACAAGAACAGTTCAAAAATTTAAAATTCAACGAAAAAGGAGACGAAAACTCGTATGACGCGTGTTGGCGACAAAGATGTTAACCGTACTGACGCGACAGGGCGATTGCAGGAACCGGGCGGGACCAAGGATTGAATACCGGTACCAATTTCGGTTTTGGTTCTTCATTTAGGTTCATATAAAGGTTGCTCTTTTCGGTACGGTTTCAGTTCCGGTATCGGTTCCGGTTTGGGTTCCGATGTACCGGTTCTAAATACCGGTTCCGAGAATCTTTATATCTGATGATATTATACCGGTTCCTTGTCACCCGATTTAAAGATTACTTACGGAAGAGGGGATGCGTTGGGAGCGTGCTTAGCATACCATGCCTTTTCTTTTGGTTCGCCTTCGCTCTTCGTAGTATTAGAGGGTACTATTCTATACGATATACGAGTAAATAATTATTATTGTGACTAATTAGGTTATATTAAAATGGATAAAGGTAAGTGTCTAATTTCAATGTTTTGTATTCATTAAGATTGTAGCTGCATTCATACTTTACGGCGTATATTAACTATAATGTTCTTGTAAATATGTACGAGTATGTACGTTTGTATTTGATTAGTATAATTGCAACACATGTACCTTGCATGTAAATGTTTATCCAATTTATGTAATATTAATAGGCAATTTTCAATAAACCATTCATTTATCTATAGCTTTTCTAAAAGCTTGTCGCGGGGCATTTTATACGAGTTGGTTGGTTGATGGCTAGTTTTAATTTGGTATGTTTGTTAATGTGAGGAGTAAGTCAGCTATTACAGTAACGAGTAACGATAGATTGTATGATAGTCTAGCGGTTTGAGTCCTTGATGTGTATTTATTTCAGACTGTTCTCGTGATTGGTCTCTCTGTTTTCTTTATATACTTGTTTTCTTACTTTCAGGAATAATAAAGTACCTGTATTATTCCCGATACAGACGATGAATTGAAGCATTTGATTAAAAAAAATCTTAAGGAGAAATGTCAACTGACTGAAGATACGGAAAAAAATGAATGTAATGAATGTCTATTGCACTACAACGATGTTGACAATAGAAATCATACTTTTTCTCAACTGATTGAACAAGAACTAAAGAATATTAAACCATGCATCAGGACTAGGTGTTACATCGACATACTTGAGTATTTACATTCAGCAAAAGGAATTCATAATAAAGATATAGAGAAGTCGTAATCTAAATAATCACAAAAAGTGAGGGTGTTTTTTTTTAAAATAACGAACGAAAAGTAATTTCAAGTGTGATAATTAAATAGTTAGTTACATTAGTATGTTTCTATATTTTCTTAAAAAATAAAAATATTATGATATATTAAAAAAATCTTTTATTTTATAACCGACAATTTAACATAACATAAAACTCGTTCTTTTATCAACTCTAGATAATTATTATTATAGACCTCTCCTCACATTGGCGCAGAATTGAAGCATCTCGTCGCAACCGCTCAACATTAACCAAGACGCGAGGAGGAGAGCGTCTACGCTCGAATCCATATTTTCATAACACAAATTTGTTTCTTAATAATGGGAAAATAGATATGAATATGCTGTAGGCGAAAAACTAGACTCGAAAAGCTTCGACTCTGCGCCAATAAGTATAAAACCTGTGTAAACTTACACAATATAGTATCGCAACTAAACATTTTCATTCATGTTTCGATCAAAATTTGAATGAAACTGTTCTGTCGCGACTGTTTGCGCGGGCCTAAATCCGACGTAGGCCCCGATTAACAAAATATTATAATTTATATACTCTAATATTTTTTCTATTTTTATCAAAATATATCCTAAAAACAACAGCAATTTGCAAAAAACGTAATTTTGAATTTGGCGTCAAACATACAAGAAAGGGATTGGAATATTAGAAGACCTGACAAACAATATTTTATATAAATCAAATCAAATCAAATCAAATCAAATAATTTATTTGTAAAACATAGGTAAAAAAAATTTACAAGCTTGGTGGAAAAGGTATGATACATAACACTATGTTTCGCCTACAAAGGCATACAAATATTTGTTTATCACTATCACTGGCACTATGAAACTGGCACTATAACCTGGCAATATGAAAATTAATTTTTAATAAAATAACAATTTCAATTAAAATTAGTATGTTTAGAAATAACATTAATTATTATCTTAATTATCAATTACATAAATTTAAACATATAATAAATAAATCGACCATTAATTATTTCAGATACTAAAAACCATTCATTTTATCTTCAAAGTATTCGTTGATAGAGTAGTATGCTTTATATATTAAAAAACTCGAAAGCAATTTCTTAAAGGGGGACGCCCATTTTCGGCCATGGAACGCCCAACAATGTGAATTTGTTAAAAAATTTTATCTTTATTTATGGTTATTAATCGCGGTATTCATTTATCCTCAAACAATGGGAATATTTTTGCACAAATTAAAAGTACCGGAAACATAATAATAAAAATTAGGTAAATCATTATGTCATTAGTTTGTGAATAAAAAAAGTGTTGCCAATCACAAAACACATTTAAAAAATCGATTCTCTTTTTCGATCGATTATTTACGGTGTCATCATTACAGTGCTAATATAATTTTTAAATAATTATGATGTTACGATAATTAAACAAGCGAATTACTAGCTGATTTCCAATGAATTCTTTAGAGACTAACAAATGCTACGGCACAATTTAACTGTTAATCTTAACCGATCTTCTTTGAAAACAGATAAGAACTGTTATTCTTATCTGTTTTTAAAGAAGATCGGTTAAGTTATTCTTATCTGTTTATAACAATACATTTAAAATAGAATCATGTTATGATAACGAAACAAGTTAGTTTCCAGCTGATTTACCATGAATCCTTTAACCTTTTGAGCGCCAAAATCGCCTATACTTGACCAACACCTGCGGGCCCTGAGCGCCAACGACGTCTATAGTTGACAAAAAACCCGGCTCCGAAAAATATGAAATATAGATATTGGAAAATTATTACAGGTATTTTAATTCTACACTCCTCAAAATAGGAATAACGCAGCAACATGTGAGTATAAAAAACAAGTCTTCTAGAGCCACAAGTACTAAGAAACATTGAACTAATAAAAATGGATTTTTATCTAAGCAAATAATATGTCCTGCACGCCAAAGTCGTCTATGGTTGACCGCTAGTGTCAAACGCGGGTGGCATAGATTTCTTGAAAACTATCAAAAATTCAGATCAATGGTGTTTTTTGATTGATTGGTGAACAAATATGTTTATTTATTCCATGACCAAGATTTTAGTATTATAAGGCTGATTTACCTAGTGCGAATAATTATATACAATTGTTGATTAATGAATAATTATGTACCTTTTTTAATAATAATACAAAATTACAATTAATGTTCTTTTTACTTAGGGTGTGAAGAGCAATTTTTCATTTTGTGTTGTGCCATTTTCTTTCTCAGTCTCAAAATCATCTAGCAGTATCAGCATCATATCAAATCCCCATTGTCATAAGAGTGTAAGACTTTTCTTCTGTGCATCACTTGGCCTACGCCTTCCCCGACACATAAAATATTATGAATCGATGTCTGTATATTTCGTTTAGATCGATTTTGAAATCGATACACAACATTCTAAGAATGTTTCAAAAAGGAAGGTCAGCTACGCCGTTGTCGTCCAGTCGCGACAGTGTCGTCATTAGGATGGAGAGTAGTGCTGTGGTTTACTACTATTTTATTGTTATTGTTTAAAAATACACTTAAAATAGAATTTAAATAAATAAAGGAAAATACATTTTAAAAAGCGAGCAGAAGCACCTCCAAGATTATTCTCTTTTTATGGAATTATTAATCGAATAATAATCGAATCGATATTATGATGTTATGATAATTAAAAAAGGGAATTACTAGCTGATTTACTATGAATTCTTTAGAGTATAACAAAATGCTGCTGCACAATTTAACAGTAATTGTTATCTGTTTTAACAATACATTTAAAATGGAATCATGTTATGATAATTAAAGAAGTGAATTTTTAGCTGATTCACCATGAACTGTTTAGAGCATGATAATACGCTAATCCACATTTTAACTGTTCTTAAAAATACATTGAAAAAAGAATTTAAGTAAATAAAAGAAAATATATTTTAAAAAGCGTGTAGAACTTAAAGCGCCTCATATATTACTTTTTTTATTAAATTACTAATCGAATAAAAATCGATATCGTTTCATTGTATTTATGCACAGATTAAACTGTGTATTTATGTTAGTTATGTGGCAACATCAAATCTGACAGCTAGGAAATATGTCATGCGAATTGGGAATGAAAATGAAATCACAATTCAACAAGTAAAAAGATACTAGAGAATTCACAACTAAATAGTCGCAATTGTGTTATTTTGTTTGTTATTTTTCAAATAAATTCTCAAGAACTCATATGAAGTGAGATTGTCGATCACATTATAGTGTGACAACAGTTAAAAGTAAGTGTTTAACAGTTTTAATTTAATAATTCTAGTGCTGATATTTGATAGTGATGAATGAATGAAATGATGAAGTTGTTTTATTTTTTAACATATGCACAAGCTATATCTGACAAACATAATAGCTTATTTATAACATGGCGATAAGATTAGCTAGCTAACACCAGATAGTTACAAAATGGACAATTTTTATCAAATACCAAGAAATGAGAAAGTTGATTTTTAATTGTTTTTGTACTACTGGTAGGCAGTCAGTCCTTAATTATTAAAAATATAGGGCATTAAGTTTTAAGTAACATTTACCTATATTTGAGTTTAAAGTAAACAAATCTATTTTATTTTGTTCACTTTGTCTTATTTTTTTTATTTAATATTATTTCAGTTGCCATCGTCATCGCGTGTCATGATTGCTGGCAAAGGACTGATAAAGCAGCATCACGTTAAACTTTAGAACGGGAACCATCTGAATCATCTAGTCCGTCCTCGTTGCAATCTAAAGTCAGTAATATATTGAACCTAGAACAACAAAGCTTAGATCATACATCGTACAATATACTGCTGCCTAATTTTGTAAGACCACCACTCACACAAAATCAATGTTTTTTCCTGGTTGTAACTATTCCAATCAACTCACAGTTCCATCAACATTGCGGGTATGTCTTTTTGTGAATACAATTACTATGTACCTCCAGAATGTAGAATCAGTAACTACCATTTAAGTAGTAAATATTTTATATGTATTTGAGTTTAAAGGAAACAAATCTATTTTATTTTTATTTAGTTTACTTTTTCACTTTTTTATTTAATATTATTTCAGTTGCCATCGTCATCTCGTGTGTGTCATAATTGTTGGCGAAGGTTTGATAGAGCAGCATCACATTCAACTGCAGAACGGGAACCATCTGAATCATCTAATTCATCCTCGTTGCAATCTGAAGTCGGTAATGTATTGCACCCATATTCAAACATTCTAATTTCAATAGAGAATGAAGCTGGGTATTTCCACCTGCTTGGGACACTGTAATTAATAAAATTAAAACTAAACCCAGCATACCATGCAAGACTTCAGGACAGTAAGTTCATTCTGCGTAGATCGGACCATAAATACTTATTAAAAAGCTGAAGTTACTCCAAGTTAACACTGATTTCGGTACACCAGTCACCTCAATCCCCCATGACCATGTGTGCTGGAAAGCACCCGAAAGTCGGGAATTAAAAATCAAAGAAATTAAATGCGATAACATCGGTAAAATTAGTTGTTAAAAAACTGTATTTGTGAAAATAAAAACTTTTATATCTTAAAATTCCCGACTTTTTTAAACCAATTTCTTAACCATTTCATTCCTTTAATTGTATATTATCATATCTATATGCTTTTATATGTGGGCACCCATGGCCGAAATGTCTATGAAGAGTGGGCATTCCTCTTTGGCTATATCATCAGTTTCTTTGATGTATTTTTGGGAGTTTATTAAAAATTTTAGGCGCCATACCCAGGAAACTTTTTTGAATACATGGCTGTTTTATGAGGTTTTGTGCGTAGTTTATTTCTATGTCGTTTATTATTAGCGTTTTCAAATATGCCTAAATGTTTCCTTACAAACATAGCTAGGTTTAGTTAGCTAAGTTTACGTAGATTATATCATTAGACATCTGGATATTCATTCTATCCAGATGTAGTATCTAAGTAAAATGTCATAAAAAATTGTTTGTCAGGTCTTATAATATTCCAATCTCTTTCTTGTTTTATTGGTAAGTATAAGGGAGAAATAACCTAACTATTCTAAGCTTAGTAATTGATGCGCAACAGAATCGGGGATATGTAATTATGATCATAGTCAATCATCATAGTCATATAGGTTTATACACTTCAAACATAATAATAAGATCTATACTATGATGAAAATTATCCAACTGTTTCATTATCTGAATTATTTCTTAAGAATAAAATATCATCAATTAAGTCACTTTTTAATTTCGTCCGAAGTTTGTTGAATACAAAATTCAAAGAGGAAAATAACCTCTCTACACTGACTTGTGTACTAGGTGCAGCCAGTACTATCTTTGATAAAATATACAGATCAGGTAATATATTTTTTTGCTTTCCCAAAATAATAAAATATTTTTGCTCACAGGAAGGCGCACCTGTTTGTTTAAAAATTCTTTCAAGTCTATTTTGATATCTGAGTCGTCTCCAGCGCAGCAGCCATAGCTTGGATCTCCTCCCAGGGTATTATTATATGACTGATCCAAGAAATCTTCTAGCTGAGAACCTTCATTTTGCTGCTGCGTTGAAGTAGAGGCGACAGGAGAGCTAAACATTGTACTATCACGGTCTTGTTTATTTAATTTGCGCCACCTCATCCATGCACTAACCAACGCTTTTTCTGCAATCTCCAGTTGATCAGTGTTCAACAGGAAGTTAACACGTGGATCCATATATACAGCTGCGACAAACGCTTTAGATTCGAACAGGACTTTTTCCCTAATTTCCATGTTGCGATGTAATTCGCACGCGAGGGTGGTGTTTATCGCCTTCAGCTCTATTTTGCAATTTATCCAATTGAGGTAAAAGTCACCCATAGTCAGTTGTTCACTTTGTAACTTTTTAGTCAAGATGTTGCTTGGTTTTAAAGAGGCTACAGTAATCTCAATTGAATTCCACGTAGTTTCGGACAAATAGAGCTCATAATTCTCTGTACATATTGGCCGAAGTTCTAGTAGCCGAGTGAGCATATCATAAGTCGAACTCCAACGCGTGGGGCAATCCACCACAGGTCTTTTAGCCCCCATTCTTTTTAGTAAGTGTTGGTACACTGTGGTGCGTAACTTTTTTATAACCTCACGCGCATTTGTGAGCATAAGCGTCAGAATGGATGAAGATTCACTAACCCTAAAGCATCTTGTACAGCTAACTGCAACGTATGTGCAGCACACCTAACGGCCTTAACCGTGTAATGTTCACTTTCTAAGTAATCTTCGAGAATAAAATTTACTTCGTCACTCGTCATCTCCATTATTTCATTCTCGTCATCATCTGAATCATCCTCATTTTCTTGTATGCTAGTTTTTAAGGCTTGTTCCACTAATCTGACCATTTTCAGCATATTTGCTCCATTATCAGTGGTTATGGAATAAATTTGGGAGATAGATATCCTGAACCGATTCAGCACATAAATTAATTGGTCTTTTAAAAACTCGGCTGTATGTCTTTGGGTGAGTTCAGTCACACTTAATGTTTTGATAACTATCTGGTCATTTTCGATGAACTGCAGGTTAATCCTAAAAACCTTCGCAAATGGCATGATGCGATGTCTAATTTAAGACTTATAAGTTTTTTTTAATCTTTGAAGCAATATCATCACGCAAATTGTCAGCTTTGTTTTGGGTGGCTTCACGAATTTTGTGAGAGTTTATGGGACTATGTGAGCATCCTGCCTTTGCCATATCCAATATGTTTTGGAAAGGTTTGTCGTCAATCAAAGTTAGCGGTCTCCCACATGTCGTTACTAAATTTATACATTCATCCATCAATTTAATTTCGAAATCTTGTTTGGATTTTTTCTTTCTATTTCCTTCGACGTGTTCTTCACTTTCTGCGCTATTCTCTTGAAGTATAAGCTTATATTGCACAGGATGCTTCTTCATATGTTTTAATAAATTTGTTCCATGATTTCCCAGTAAGAAGCATAAAAGCACGTTCATAAATTTACCATTAGACTCGGAACAACAATAATTTTTGTAACAAACTCACGTGTTCCGTGTGGAGCTCGAACCCGCATACACTTTTTTTAAAATGTTCTTCAAATGCATGCCTTTCATAATATTAATTACTATGAAACCATTCAAATCCTTTATAATAACCTAGTTTCTATAAAATTATAATTTATAACACTACACTAACTTATACGAAGGCAAATAGTTTGTTTAGCATATTAAATAAAAAAACGATTAAATAATGACATAATTACTTAGGTACTTACCTTTATAACTGCACCACAGTCATTGACAGTACATGTGGAATGTTTTTGATGTTCATCATATATAAAATATTTATAGACGAAATTAGATTTCTTTCGGCCCATTGTCAGTTTGCGCAATAATGATTAACTTCTTCTTCTTAAAATAGATTATTATACTAATATATTTTACCTATTACTATAATTATTCTATTACACTAATATATTACAACTATTTACACACACAACAAACAAATACAAATAGGTACGTACGATTTAAAAACTATAATTTTATTAATACGAACACTAGCGAGTGGCGGCGCGCGTTGATATGCAACAGAAGATCCACCAATACAAATGTAATGTTTTAAAAACTCCCCACTCCTCACACTCTGCCGCGCGCCGCATTGCGCGTTCCACCCGACCGAACCTCAAACAAGTTTGGACTCGATTTCGCTTTATTTAGGAACCGGTAAAATAAAGGTTCTTAAAGGTTCCAATTTAGGTTCTGGTTCCTGTTCCGGTATAGATACCGGAACCCCTAAATACCTGTTCTATACCGGTATTTTGGAACCATTTTCAATCCCTGGGCGGGACGCCGCATTCCAGCGAGGTGCAAACTTAGCTTGGTCGGGTTGTATAGCTCGCTTCGAACTGCCATTTCATCGAATTATCAGAGTTAGAAAATAGTGTGTTTGTATTTGTGCACATAATCGTCGCATCGAATAGACTTTTCTTGTTATTATATTTTTGCTTCTTACACCATCTAATTGGCAAGTTTTATAATTCATATTTGGTTTCTTAACAGTTCTATAAAAGTTCAACGACTCCCTTAGCAAAATTAAAAGCAATCTAAATAATTAAAATAAACTTCAAGATGTAATTCCTCTAATTCGGCAGTCAGATCCTTTTATTTTGTGTTCAGTTTTTGTGTCACTATTTCCGCTGCCTGCATGGGTCGTGTCATTTCCATGATTTTCTCAGCTAACTCTGCCAGTACCAGATGTAAGTAGATGTCCCGTCCACATCATCCAGAGTGTCTCGTCGGGTAATTTATTTGAAAGAAAGAAAGATTTATTGCAGCACGTCACAAGCATCAGTAGGCACTTAAATTTTAACATTTGTGGACACATCAATTATAAACATTATAACAAAAATAAAAAAATAGGAAACAAAACAACAATTTGACGAATAAAACAATTTAAAAGTATGTATACTTATAGATTATAATTAAAAAAATAGAAAGACAAAAAAATCGTTTCTCATATTGTACGAGTATGTTGTGGCGCGTCATACAAACGGACCTCAGCTTATGCTGTCGCCGGAACAACAGCGCTGGTTTTTAGTAGGCCCGAACGGATAGTAACGTACGGACGTCCGAGTGTGACACATAATAATATTTTTAAACCAATCTGTCTATGCTGAAATTATTGATTTCAAACCGAAGGTTACATTACATACCTTGTGCTTATTATACATGCACTTTATTTTTATTTTCCAAAATTTTGTGTTAACAGTGTGTTCTTAACTTTATTAATTAATATATTATAATATATTATATTATTTTAGTTATTATATTATTTTAAAAAGTTATTATTACGTTGTATTCGTTTTCTTATATTAATATAAGTATATTTTTATTACTTATTTCTAAAACTTATATATAAATTACATCAGTTATTAATTGACGACACTAAATTACACTTTTTTTAGCCTGCAGTTAGTGGACCTATCCGAACAAATTCCAAAGGGGAATGGCAGGCTTGTATGGGAGTTTCGTACCGCTAATAAAATTTCGTGTTTTGGGATATTTTTGGTTTTAATTGGTAGATAGTAGGATAGACAAACCTCTTTTGAATTTTTTAGATTTTTAGAACTTGGGAGATAAAAGTTATAACCAGTTTTAATTTTTAAGATCATCTACATAGACCATAGACTAATATATAATATTATGAACTAGTGTTACAATTTTTTTATTTAACTGGCTTTGCGGTTTTGGGTTCTAGACCTTCTGAGCCTATCATTTCTTTCGAAATCTTCGTTTTTGTATATTTTTTCCGCTTCTTACGTCGTTTTGTCTAATAGTTCACACGCGCAGACAATTAACAAAATCCCATCACTTTTACGAATCAAAATCTACTTCAAACCATGATTCAAGCAACAAAACAGGAGCGACAAATTGTCCAACAATCCGTCGACAGCCAAAACCTCTCTTAGTGTACTTATGTTACATATAGGCAAATAAATATAGTTTTTGTGATAAAGTAAATATTCTATATTGCTTTTCGCTAATCTATAGTGCTTTACTAACCCTTATTTTTTTTTAGAACAAGGGTGACAATCGAACAGACAGTCCACCTGATGGTTAGTGGATGCTGTGGCCCATGGACATCTACATTTATCCTCGATTTAGAATCAAAATTCAGATGCGTTGTCACCTCTGAAGACTAGGATCGAATGCCTCGTTTCCAGTAAAAAAGGGTCTCCGGATCTCTACACTCACCATACGAAACACAGCAGTATTAAACAGCTATTTTACACTGGTATTCTGTGAAAGCGTGCTTCTTCCCTGGTCGAGCAGTCATTCGTGCTACAACTATATTATAGCTACAGCGTGGTTCTACCATTAAGTAGGTAGATTAAGATGAGGATCGGTATCTACTCAGCGTTGTGAATTAGGAGATACTTATATTCAGCAGCGGACTGCAACATTTGATAATGATAAAGTTCTAATGGGGTTTTGAGTGTAGGTAAATAAAAAAATATTTTGTTTTTTAAGTTAATTTATTTTATTGTACTTATAATTAATGAATTCTTAATAAAACTTCATCTAAGAATGGGCCGGGAAAGAACGGGGCAGGCCGGGTAATACCCTCATGGCGAGCATGGCTTCGGTACCAAATAATACTCATAACACGTGAGTAGCATCTCACTGCACGTAAACCTACAATGCAGTTACAGCAATAACTTCTGATTGCGTTCCGCCCAATCATGTTTGTTTCTGCAACTATAACTACAAAGTTTTAGTGGAAAAGTGGCGGGACTTAATCTTAGCATGAAGCAAGATTGGGTTTATTCTCTCTAAACCATCTATTCTCTCTCGGGATACTTCTAGTGTATATATCGCATGAAAGCGAAAAGTCTTATATTGGGCAACACAATATGCTGGGATCTTTTTTTGTGGTCCTTCTGGTACATGTAAGCTCGAATCTCGAACTTTGTCCCAGCAAACTTCACAAACTTCATTCATGGATGACATCTGTAAATAATTTATTTCATGAGATGGCCATAGATATAAAATTAGTATTGATGAAATACAAGCGTTAACCGTATACCGTTGTAGGGAAACTGCACAGAAATCCAAAATTATTTATATATATTATCGCTCAAAACAATGTATAAGAGTTCTATAGCAAATATTTCATACAATACAAGATTATTAACAGTTACATCTTTATACATATTAGAATCATCTAAATTAACATTGTCTAGTTTGAGATACTATGGGTACATACTAGAGATAATTTAAAACTAATTTTCTAAAATTAAAATGTAAATACATTCAAACATAAAACTCAGAACAAACATCTATGTTCATCACACAAATGTTTGTCCTTGGTGAGAATAAAACTCACAACCTTCAACCCACTCACACATAGAACATTTTTTCCATCTGATTCAAAGGCAGTACTCAAAAAATATGTTAATTCTTTCGTGTTTTCAGAGTGGACCTGTTCTTTATGAAAAAAATGTAAATTATTTTGTGTACATATCACTAGAGCCACTAAATATTCATTTATCATCATATTATAGCCTTTTTTGTGAACTGCAGTATACTGTCATTCCCACATTGTCTTTGTAAATCTCTAAAAAGTAAGTGGTAATATTCACTATATGCAAGTT